TTTTTGTTTTATGTGTTTTATAGTCCATATTTTGATTCACAATGCCATTAAAGTCTCCCATCATACAAATATCAGCATAGTCTAATTCCAGAACTTTTTTGTGTAGTTTTTTGTAAAATTCATCTTGTTTTTCATTGGGGGCGTAGATTCCAATTAGGAGTGTCTTTTTGGTGTCCATAATTTCCACCATCAAAATTCTTCCCTCTTCCTCTGCGTATACTACTTTTGTTGGGATGTTGCCTTTAATATAAAAGACCACTCCTCTACTGTGTAGGACTTCTAATCAGAATTGGGCTGGAAAGGACCTCGGAGGTCTTCTAGTCCAGCCCCATGCTCGGGCAGGAGACCCTATACCATTCCAGACAAATGACTGTCCAATCTCTTCTAAAAAGCTTCCAGTGATTGAGTAACTGGATGCAACTGGATGCAGTATTCCAGGGGTGACCTTGGAAACTTGGGTGGACTTCAACTCCCAGAATTCTGTAGCCACCATGGGAAGTGAGTCCACTCATCTTAAAGCCATCAAGGCTGAGAAACACCTGTTTAGACTGTTGTCAAGGAAACCACAAGCAGTCCTCCACATAACCACCACAAGGGAGCAAAGTGAGACATTTGTTAAGTGAGTTTTGCCCTGTTGTAACGTTGACCTTTCTTGCCATAGTTGTTAAGTGGATCACTTCCCAGTTGTTAAGTGAATCTGGCTTCCCCCTTGTCTTTGATGGTCAAGAAGGGGATCACATAGTAATGGTCATGAGTATAAGCCAGTTGCCAAGCATTTAAATTTGGATCACATGTTCATGGGGATTCCACTGTGAAAAACAGCCATGTCCCTTTTTTCTGTGGTAACTTTTGACTATCATTAAATGAACTGCTGCAAATCAAGGACTCGCTGTACAAAGACACGTTATCAGGACTGGAGCTCACCTTAGAGAAGATTTCATTTAATTTGTAGCCGTTCTTCTTGTACGCATTTATTTTTACCATCTCTTAAGGGAAGACATGCACAAACAGATAAAGGCATACTGTTAAATCATTGGTTGATGATTTCATTCAACCTTCTTTATAGGACCCATCACTCCACAAGGGACCGGGTGTTTGGCAGTCCAATCTGTGAGTGGTACAACGGTAAGTATGTTAGCACGGGTAGGTTTCCTATCCGCTTCCTACGATCGCTTTATTTGTGAAACGCCCCGTTGAAGATGAACCCAAATAGCTTCAACTTTGGCCGTTGGAAATTCTAACAAATGGCTCCATTCACAGCGGTAACCTCCTTCTTGTCTCATATCCGTCATCGGACATTGGCAATCATGTTGGCAATCCTTTTTTTTGTCAACAGCCGCATGAAAAAGTGCTGCTGAGTTTTGTCCAAGCCAGTCCCTAATATTTTGAAGCCATGATGTTCTTCTTCTGCCTGGACCTCCTTTGCCTTCAATCTTTCCTTGGAGGATTAAGTGAAGGATGCTGTATTTTTCTGGGTGTCGCACCACATGTCCAAATATTCTAACTTTCACTTTTCAATGGCTTTGATGATTTCCCTTGGCTTTCCTAGGCAGCTTATCACCACCTCACTTCTGATTTTGTCAAGCCAGCTTCTACATAATAGCTGCCTGTAAATCCACATTTCAAATGCTTCTAGTCCAGTGATGGCTAGCATTTTTGTTGTTGGATGCCAAAAATGTGAGCGTGCGTGCACAATAGCAGATATGCATGCCAGCACCCATAATGCAAAGCGCTCCCCCACGTGCACATGCAACCCCCCCCCCACACACACACATTCCCCCCTCCACACACACACATGCCGCACTGCTCACCTCCAGGCTGAGCTTGGTATTTCCTTGGGGTGGGGGGCGGGGGAGGCCTCTGTAGCCTGGGAAAGGCGAAAAACAGGCCCAATAAGCTTTCCAGAAGCCTGGGGAGGGTGAAGACGTCCGCCCCCAGAGGCTCTCCGGAAGCCAGAAATGAATTGTTTCCAAACTTCCGGTAGGCCTGTTAAGCCCATTTTTCACCCTCCCCTGGCTCCAGAGGCTTTCCTGAAGCCTGGGGAGGGTGAAAATGGCCTTCCCCCAGCCCTCTGGAAGGCAGAAAATCAGCTGGCCAGCACACGTATGCATGCTGGAGCTTACAGCTTGCGTGCTGGCAGATATGACTCTGTGTGCCACCTGTGGCATGTGTGCCATAGGTTCGCCATCATAGTTCTAGTCTCTTCAAGTGGTTTTCTGTCAGAGACCAACTCTCTTCTCCGTAGAGCAGGATACAAAAATGTAACATCTGACATGCCTGATTTTCAGTCTTAGATTATGTCCTGACTGAGGTAACATTGAGAAGTGTCTATTCAAGTTGTTTTACTAAGCCCTGGCCCATACTGATTTTTTTTTAAAATGCCTATAAAAATACTTTTTTCAAGAGTTTCCATGCAGGGAAAGAAAGCCCCAAAGGGACTTTTTTTTTTTTCAAGAGGCTACTAAACTTTCTTTGTTTTTCCTTGAAGACGTTTTGCTTCTTCTCCAAGAAGCTTCTTCAGTTCTGACTGAATGGTGGAGGATCGAAGGGTTTCCATTCCTAAAAAAGCCTCCATGTAGCCTCAACAACTTTCAGAGAAAGTACTAACCACCAGATCACTGCAAGGAATCTAAATCCTTCCATCCACCACCATTCAGTCAGAACTGAAGAAGCTTCTGGGATGAGAAGTGAAACGTCGTCAAGGGAAAACCAAGAAAGTTCAGTTGCCTCTTGAAAAAAAAATTAAAAAAGCACCTTTGGGACAACCATGACCTGGATGACGGGGAATCTCCACAGAGATGCAGGGAAAGTAAACTAAAACATAGACTTTTCATAAAAAGAACTTCATACATCATAGATGGACTTCTGTTGTTTTATTTCAGCCTGATTTTCGGATAGCTGCGACCGGAGTTGTGCTGGACCTGGATAAGTCTATAAGGATTGTGAAGAAATTAAAGTTGATCGGTTTCCCTTTCAAAATTTTCAAGAATACAGCTTTCATTAAGGTACGAGTTTGAGCAGAAAATCTTTGCCATTTGGTCTTTGCAAGTCATGTGTTGTTCAGCTTTATTTATTTAAATTTATCAGGGCTACCCACCTTAGGAGACTCTGGCTATGAGTTCAAATCTTGGGGTGGTGTTTATGCAACAAATTTTAAAAAGACCAAAGTAAATTTGCGTACATTTGTTGTTTATTAGAGACATGCCTGTCTTCATTTGTGGCAGAAATGGCTGTCCCAAAGATACCTCTTAATAAGTTGCTATTACTTAATATGTAACAGAGGAAAGTGAGTTAGAAGAAACATTGGTTCTTTGACATTGAGCCACGGTGGTGCAGTATTTTGAGTGCAGTACTACAGGCTATTTCTGCTGACTGCTGGCTGCCTGCAATTTGGCAGTTCAAATCTCACCAGGCTCCAGGTTGACTCAGCCTTCCATCCTTCCAAGGTGGATAAACTGAGGACCCAGATTCTTAGGGGCAATATGCTGACTCTGTAAACCTCTTAGAGAGGGCTGTAAAGTGGTATATAAGTGTAAGTGCTACTGCTGTTGCTATTAGTTTTATTCCTCTCTTGTTGATCTTCCCATATAGTGACCCTATTTCCTTTTTTGTAAATGCTGATCCTTTATTTCACAAGGTTGTCCTTTAGGATCTATCTATCTATCTATCTATCTATCTATCTATCTATCTATCTATCTATCTATCTATCTATCTATCTATCTATCTATCTATCTATCTA